GAGCAAGTTTTCTGAAGGGAATGGAGAATATCAGCTTTGGTCTGATCAGAAGCTCCAACCTCTACTCCTGTCTCTCTAGTTTGACCAGGAGACATCAGGAAGGGTTCTTGCCCAGGGCCAGCCCTCTCCCTCCTCTCATGTTTCCCAGGCATACCTTCCTGCCTCTCTTTTTTTTTTTTTTTTTGTTCATCTGAACAACTGTTAAGATGTACAGGTTCCACTGCTTGTGAAGCCTGACCTAGCCATTTACCTTCCAGCCATTTCAGAATAAAGGTGATCTCTGTAGCTAGGAACAACTGCTACCACACAACCTCAAAAGCCCAATCCTACAGGGACTCTATTAGGAGAATTGGCATTGAAAGTCTACTATTATCCAGGAGCCTTGATCCAAGGTCCTGAACAGAATGGGGTACAGAATGAATTCAAGTCCAGCCTGGGCAACTTAGCAAGATCCTGTGTCAAAATAACAAGAGGACTGGGGGATATCTCAGTAACGAAGCACTTATTAAGCACACCTAAGACCCTAGGTTCATCCTGGGGGGAACAGTATTCCCTCACCTTGGAGCCGTCTGGTTGGGTCTGAGCCCCACTCACAAATATCTCAGTTTGCAACCAGAGGTGTGACTAGTGGGGCTGGTGAAACAAAGTGGAACTTGGTAGGTGCCAATGACATGGGCGGGAAGTGCTGCAGGGTAATTTGAGCAGCAGGCACTAGACAGCTTTCTGGGAGATTTTGAAAGTTTCTATGCTAAAGTTTGGCTTTTTTTTTTTTTAAGCCTATTCTTCAGGAACATCTGATAAACTCTCCCCAACTAAGAAGTCCTTAACTGATAAGAATAAGCAGTTATCTGTTTCCGGAGGCATCTGTGTTTTTAACACCATAAAAAAAAAAAAAAGCCTTAAGACAAAGAAGAAAATCCAGTAGTAGGAGGCAAGGAGCGGGAGGAAAGGCAGCTCTGAGACCGAGGCTCATCTCCATAGCTGCAGTCTCAGTTTTTATTGCGATAGATAGGACGTGATAAATACCAAGCCAACACAGCTGCACCGCATAAAGCCCATTTCCGATGCTATTTCATTAAAGATCTTTTCCATTTTGGTGTGTTGTGTTAACAACTCAGTGATAGCTCCTATCAGACCAGGGGCTACACATCCATCCTCCCCAAGCCACTTCACACACATAAACCGCTCCTGGTGTTTATCTCAGTCCCAGGAGGTCTTGTTATCCTTTCTGAGGAGTCAAAAGTTAGCTTTCCGAAGGTCAGGTCGCTTAGTGCTCTAGTTTGCTCCTCTGCTGCGGTGCTAAAACCCTCTGACCTAAAGCAATCTACGGGAAGAGTTTATTTCCTCTTATGCTTCCACCACAGTCTATCATGGAGGGCAGACAGGGCAGGAATTCAAGCAGAAACCACAGAGGAATGGTGGTTACTAGCTTTCTCTGTTCTCTTTCTAATATAGCCTAGGCCCATCTGCCTGTGGATGGTACTACCCACAGTGGCCTGGGCCCTCCAACATCCAGTCAGTCCCTCACAGACATGGCCACATGCCAGTTTGATGGAGACAATTCTACAATTAAAGTTCCTGCTTCCCAGGTGATTCTAGGTTGTATCAAATTGACAATAAAGCCTAAGCAGGCCACTCTGTCACTGTGTGGCAGGTTAAGGATGAAGGCGGTCTCTCACTTTGTCGTTATTGTTTGATTATGACAGAAAGTCTTTGTAGAGATTCTCCACTGGATGATTTCTCTCTCATTCGAGGTCTATGGGTCACTTATAAAAAAATGTGCTAAACCTCAAGTCTTGACACATGGTTGAAAAATAGCAATTGGAATTTTAAAATCATAACTTACAAAATGATGCCAGACTAGGGACTGGGAAATTGCTCATTGAGTAATGTGTTTGCTATGCAAACATGGGGACCTGACTTCAGAGCCCCAGGATTCACATAAAAGCTGGGCGTGGTAGCACCAAGAGAGGAGGACAGGAGAGGATACCAAGGGCTAGCTGGGCAGCCAGTCCAGTCAAGAAAGCAAGCTACAGACTCAGGAACAAGCCCTGTCTCAAACATAAGGTGGAGTGTGATAGAGAAAGGTATCCGAAGTCGATTTCTGACTTCCACACATGCACACAAGTGAGTGCACCCCTGCTGCGTGCGCGCACACACACACACACTGATGGAAGATTAATGTCATAATTTGCATTGGCTACCAAATGAGATTCATCCATCTAAAGAACTGTATAGATTAGCATTATCTGAATACTGTAAGTGGCTGTACCCCAGGGCTGGTTTAGTGCAAAGAAAAGAAGCAAGAGAAGAAAGGTAGACTGGGGAGTGGAGGCCACAGGTACTAGAGGTCAGATCCTATGAGCAGGTAGGCGACCATGTTAGAGAAGAAAAGGTTTACTACAGAGCAATGCCTGTCAAATAAACAAACAAACAAACAAACAAACAGGAAAAGCAGGCCAGGCAGAGGAATCACCAGCCGGATATGGTGTGCTTGCCGGCCAGGCGAAAGTCCCCAAGCAAAGTCTGCGGGCCCCTTAGGAGGTGTACACAGTGGCAGGTGGTCTTATAGCAGTCATGTTCAGACACTGGCCAGTGACTTTGACTTTGGTTTGACAGGCTACAGCTGCCCTTGAAGGTAAGAAAGAGCAAGGGGGCCGTCAGGTGAGGCTGCTTCTTGCAGCTTGCAGGGAGGGGGCATGTGAGGTTCCCCTTGCACAAGGAGAGCTGAGCAGGGCCTCTGCATCTGCCCCTCAAGGAAAGATTCTGGAATGTATTAGAGATGGAACTATTGGAGTTTCAATCAGACATGATGGGATTCATGGCTGCATAAATATTTAATCCCTCTTCAATCTTTCATACAATAAATAGTTGAGTATCCTGTGGGAGCTGCTGCTTAGGTGCTTGGAATATGAGTGAACAGCACGCTCACTATTCTGGTGGTACTGATGGCCTACCCAGGGGCATAGGGGAAAACACACTTTCCCCAACCTGTACATTTCATGCTGTCTTAGACCTCTGCTCCTCAGCATGAAGCATGGCCAATAGGCTAGGACCACTAGGACGGCTATCACAGAGGCATATGCTACACACAGCATAAGCCCTGACATACTGAATCATAATCTGCCACACACAAAGCTCCAGGTGGCTTGCAGGACACCAACAGAGTCCCTTGAAGACAAGGGAGAGAAAACAGCTCTAGCTCTTAAAAGGTCATGGGAGACTTCTCTCACAAGGAGATTTAATAAAACCATGAGGAAAGTGAGTTAACCAAGGGTCTAGGTTGACATTCCCAGGCAGAGAAGAGCCAGAGGCAAAGTTCTGAGGCAATGTGTTCTGGGGAACTGAGCAGCAGCAAGCTGACTTGTTTGGCTGGACAGGAATAAGGCCAAAGGGGAAGAGTCAAAAGGATGGAAGGAAAGGGGACAAGGTTAGATGTGGTAGGACTGTTTTTTTAGAGGATCAGGAAGTAGGTCCTATAATACCATAAGCAAAAACACGGGCAGTTCAAATCTGTTACAGACAAGGGCACAGGCTTGACTCTGGGGAAGTTTTTAAAAGGTACAACATGACTATTTTTTACTTATTTGACTGACTGACAGAATCTCATCACTTTGTAGCCCAGGGTTTTCCTGAACTCATAATCCTCCTGTCTCAGTCTCCTGGCTGTGAAGACTTCAGGGATGCACAACTGTGCCTGGCTTTGCATAACTTTTTGATATAAATACAGAATGTGAGACAGCCAAGGCTCCCAGACTTTTGGCCTCACAGTGAGGAGTATGAATAATTGACAGGGGAAGGCTGAGGGTGAACACATTTTGAGGAGAAAGATCTAAGAATTGCCTTTAAGGACTGTATCTTCAAAACGTGTGTACTAGAGTCGGGTTCAGGAAGGCCTGGTACATGTGTGAATGTAGAAGCATGACCAGCTGCCTTCCACGTAGAGTTATATAGAAACAGGCTGTATGCACTGCACAAGTCATGTCTGTAACCCTGATGCCTATACCAAAACCAGCGGGAGGCTACCACATCCCTGCACTAGTCACTGAGACATGAACTTCCTCTGAACATCTCTTAGGTTATAATCTGAAACTTCAGATGCAAAAAATAGTCAGTACATTTTAATATGTTCTTTAATTCTCAAATGTAATTGTAAAACCAAAGGAAACTCATTAAAAGCCAAAACAGAAAGGCCCTGAATATTTTAAAAAAAAAAAGTCATCTAAAATCAAATTAGTTTTGGAACTTCCACTAGAAAATGTGTAAAATTCACCAATAACTTGCCTCACAACACATTTTCATTTAAATGTAGCACAATTTAATACAACATGGCTTATCAAGAATGTGGCTACTTACAGTTCATGTTGTTTCAGACCCTGAAACATTTATTAATAATCTTTATATTCATTATCTACTTGGTCTTCATGCTTAGGGTGGTCTCCGTTCCACATCTGATGAGACCAAGATCTGGAGATGTTATGAGTTCCGAGGGAAGGCAACAAGGAGACTCAAACTCCCACTTAATGCAAATGCCTAATTTTAAAAAGCACAGGTTTTTAAACAATAAAACATGAAGTTGATGAAGGGAGGTCTTATTTTCAAATAAATGACAGGTTTTAAAAAAACTTATTACTTTTTATTTTGTGTGTGTACGTGCACAATGGGGTGTGTGTGTGTGTGTGTGTGTGTGTGTGTGTAGTCAGTTCTCTCTTTCCATCATGTGTGACAACAGCTAAGTCAGACTGGGTGTCAAGTTTCTTTTCCCACTGGGCCATCTTGGCTGCCCCTGAGTATTTCTTTTATGACTGAGTACTCTTAAGTATCAGCCTTCTACAGTCAATAGCCAGGACATGTGATTCCCATCCCAAGTCAGACTTTTCTTTCTGACTTCTGGGCAAGCAGAGATGATGAAAATAAAGAGTGCAAGACCAGTGTAGGTTATCTGTACTTTCAGATTTCATCTGTAGTCATAATTCGGTGGAATAATATAAGGAACTGTCAATGATTTATTAAAAATTTATTCCATATAATAAATTATACAATTTGTTTTTATTTTTAAACAGTCTATACCAAAAATATTTCTGGAATTGTTTCCCCCTTTTGGTAATACACAGGTCAGGAGGTTGATGTCCACATCATAGTCTCACAGTTAAACCCCGTCCCGGATTACACAGTTAAACTTAGCCTTCCTTCACCTTTTCCCCAAAAGCTCCTGTTGGCATTATTTGATTTAAAAAAGATGGTACAAACACAATCTGACTTTGTTCAAGGCCTTAGCTTGAACTGAAAGATATTAGCTGGTAAGTTAGAAAGTAATATTCATTAGCTGTAAAATCATCATCTTATGTCACACAGACCATAAGGCCAAAATAAAAGTAAAATGTAAGGCATAAAGGGGGTCCCTAGGTCCCTGCTGAGGTATTCAAATCAGACCTGCAGACTAAGGCTGGCCAAAGAGCAGAACCAACAAAAACAGACAAGCAAGCACCTAGCACCTGACCAACGAGTCCCCAATGCATACACACATGTGCATACAGATATGCACTTCTTCAATAAGCACAGCCAATTAATTACCAAATTATTCAGAGATTATGAAATATCTGAAATTAACCAACTTCTGTGGTCTCTTCCAACTCAATATATAAAGTCGATCTCATCAATGTAAAACAAAATCATTTTCCAGCTTGGCAAAAATCAGTGCATCCTAGATTGGGAGGCAAAGGAAATCCAATTTTTATCTGCACCACATGTGTATATATTTCAAATTTTTATCTGAGAACAATATGAATGAGATTCGTCATTGTTTTTCATTGCTGTTGTTTTCAATTGTTGGTTGCCTACTTCAGTGAAAAGACTCAAAACTGAACATGTCAGGATGAGGTCACTTACTCAATATTATTACCTGTTTAAAACACAAGGATATTTGTCTAAGTTCCACTAAGACCAATGGAAATCATAACATAGACATATTCTGTATCTAGGGCCTCAGTGACTGTTCTCACTATCCTGTGGTTAAAGAAATAGAATCAGTGAATAATTATGTGCTGGGTCAAGATATTAGAAAAAATATTTATTTAAATCATATTTAAATTTGCCATTTGTACATCAAAGGCCTATTAGTGGAACAGAACTGTATTACATAACTCATCTTGTATAACTGAATTCAACTATATCACAAGCCAGTAGGTAGATTCATAGTTAACACTGGCTTACAAGGCTCTGTCACATCTTCCCCTGACAGTGAAAACACATCAGCAGGGACCTAGGGCCAAATTAAGACTCAACTGAAAACACTTCTCCCTGCAATGTAAGATGCATTAGTGACCAAACATCCCATGATTCAGTTTTCTTCTCTAGGCAGCCTACTCTAGCCCAGTGACTTTAAAAACCAACCTCTAAAAGTCTACTTTATGGCCTATTACAAGAGGAGTTGGGCCACAAAGGCAGTAATAGTGTCTTAGGCAAGGCCTGCACTGTGTCCTCCATAGCCACACCTGAGGGTAACACAGGCAAATCAGGAAGCATCCCAAGCAAGGTCGGTGCTTCAGGCAGAGTTAGGAATAGTCCTTTAACATGTACATGTGAACAGGAGAGAGAATTAGTAAGTTACACAGGGCTGGAGGAGAAAAAACCCGAGTTCTGTAACCTTAAGGTCAAGCATGGAGCCAGGAGGAACAGAGCTGGAATTTAAAAGTGCTTAAAAAGGAAAGGGTTAATAACCAAAACTGCAGCAGATTTTACGCACCAGCAATAAAATGTTATACCATATCTATCATTCACATGTGGGTTCATGTAATTTATCTTCAATTAGAATTATTATCTATTCAGCAGCTGAGGACCAAGAACTGCTGATACTCGGCAGATGAGGAAGCATCTCCAGTCTCTGGACTCTGGCCTTTCTTAAGCAAAATGATGAATACACAGTATAGATCACTTGTTCTAGAAAATCATTTTGGCCTGATGTGTAGGAAGCTGCACTGCCAGCATTTCCATCGGCAGCATCATATGACCCTCGTAGGCTCCACAGGGACTAGGCTTCTGTGGCTACATCTCACCGGTGCAGTCCTGAATCCACACAGAAAACAGCACAGAGCTTTTCAATCCAGGATTTACTCCCATGTAACGAGTTACTATAGCTACCTAAGAGCCATTTTAGTGTCTGGTCCCCAAAGGTAGAATCCGTCTGGGAACTACCTAGATATCTGCAAGTGAGTTCTTTATCTCCATTCGGCCTTGACTTGCACGGGCATCAGTGGCTCACATCCTTACACACTCAAAACAGCTTCTGGCTAAGCTCATCTCTTCCAACCCTCTGAGATCGTATACAAAGAAGACTCCCTTTTCATATACAGCTCAGTGCCAAACCAATACAAGAGTAGAATCCAGAGGTTAACACATTTGACCCATTGTGTTGGGAGAGTATGTACAAAGAGAAGTGAGTGTTTCACTTCTCATCTTTGAACTGGCTCCTCTTTGGAAAAGCAGGCCAATTTTACTAAAGAAACCCTCTTGTAGCATTTAATACACCATGAGCAAATTTGCAAAGGCGTTTCCCCAAGTTATTCCTCCATGGACCCTTTTCCCCATGACTATGTTTTGGGTAGAGTGATACTCCACAGAACAGGCCTTGGTTGTTTCCAAGATGCTTCACGAAGCCCCCAGTCTAGATTTTTGTTTGTTTGTTTTGTTTTCTATAACTAACAAAAATCACAGAGGTACTAGGCCTAGAATTTCAGTCATTTGTATATATGCAGTCACAAAGGCTGCTTAAAGCTCAAATAGTACGTGGAATAAAGTTTTCAGTTGCCCAAATGGAAAAATGAGCAGGTACTATAGAAAACAATGTAACAACTTGTTTGCAACTAGTACTCTTATTGTCAACAACAGTCTCTATGAAGTACCTTAGTAACATTCACAGAGCTAACTTTTCTTTAATTTTTGCAGTCACATACCACTGAGATATGGTCTAAAAGTGTATGATTAGTGGGTCTTATAGGCATGTGAACAGCATGGCACGTACTTGAACAGACCATGACCCCATCACATCACTAGGCACTGCTGTCACAGGACTGCTGATTTCCATGCAGCTCACCACAAACAGCAATGGCATCAGGCAGCACATGTGGAAACGCCTCTTTAACTTAGGAGCTCACTTCCTCAAAACATATCACTACTGAGACTCTGGACTGGAGACTTCTTTTGTGGAAGCACATGTTGGGCAGGAGGTGAGGTGCTGAGCAGGACTGCTGGGTTCTACCAGTCGATGCCCCCAGCACCCACGGAGAGTCTTTACATGCTGTTCATATAATATTATGAAGCCAGTCCAGTTGAGAACAACTGCTCTTAAGCTTGTGGCTTGGCTCTGTTTCCTTGGGAAACGTCCCTTCAATAGGCACAGAGACAGCTAAATAAACATCTGGTATTTAGCAGCATTAGAAACAAATCTTTCTCAATTCTGTATAATTGGAAACAAACAAACAAAATATCTTTGACTGCTGAAGAATGGCTAAGAAGAAGCTCTTTGAAGTTGATGAGAATTACATGTAGCTTTATATTTTATACTAGTAAGAATCATCTGAACTGTTCACTGCAACTGCATGTTATAACCTGTTAAGAATCATAAAGACTGAGGCAATCTAAGGATAAAAAAACAATCACCAATGACTACCCTCAGACCAGTCTCTTCCTTGATGGAAGATTCTCTATAAAACTCTCGATTCAACTTTACATATATTGTTTAAACTGCTTGTGTGAACTGGCAGAAAGAGGACCGTGTCATAAAGCACGGCCCTGGTCCCTGTCACCAAGCACATCCTCGAGTTTCAAAGCCATTTCATCAATGTCCGCATCGTCAGCTTTGCTGTCGTCAGCTCCAGACACGACACTTTCTCTATTCTGTTCCTTTCTTACTATGTTTAAGCACTTGTCAAGTCTCTTTATGAACAGGTCCACATCCTTCGTCTTCATCCCGATGGCTGCTGCTGCATTGAGATAAGCACAGGGGTAATTATCTGTGTGGGACATGAAGCCTTGGAAAGTATGGCCACTCACAGTTTGCACATTCCCAAGAGGCACAGCCCTGAAAGGGAAAAAGATTGTATCAGCCTGGCGTGTCTGGTGATGTTAATAGATACCACCCACCCAGAAACAAGGAAACTGTCTCACTAAGCTATACAGCCACCAGTTCGGAAGCTGAGAAACAGGCATAAACTGTGGCTGATGCAAACAAACTGTCAGCTTAAAATGAAATTGTAAAATACAACTGTGAAGTCCTGCCTAGTGATGACCATTTACCCAGCTTCTATAATAGAGAGCAAAAGCTCATCTTCATATCTTCTTCAAAGAAGTAATAAGAAATTTAGTTCTGTGCCAAACCTAGACTCTGATTTCAACTGTGTAAGCCAAAATGCTTTGGTTTACTGTCACCTCACCATCAACAAATGAAAATTTCAATCATGTGATGACAGGGCTCACAGCAGGATCTAGGAACTCGGTGACTGCTTCAGTGAGAGGTGGCCAGCAGACAGTAACAACCACCAACAGCTTATGCATTATTTAAGGCTGACTTCCATGGCGTCCTTAGACACAAGCAGATTTCTAATCTTTCACTTTTAAGAAATCAATTAAAGGCTGGGTGTGGAGGCACACACCTTTGATCATAGTACTAGGAAAGAAGATCTTTTTGAGTTCAAGGTCAACCTCATCTACAAAGCAAGTTCCAGAATAGCCAAGGCTACTACATAGAGAAATCTTGTCTGGGGGGAACAGTAGAGGGAGGGGAAGGTGGGTTCAACAACAAACAAACAAATCAAAGGCATCAAAACTGTGTGGCATCAGACAGTTTCTCAAGTTAAAAGCTGAATTGACCTAAGTTGTAGTTTTTTTCTTTGAATAAGCAGTCATTAGCCAGGCGTGGTTGGCACTAGAAGAAAGGGAAGAGGATCTCAAGACCAGCCAGGCTACATAGCAAGTCACTAGCTAAAACAAAACAAAATCCAACAATGGGGCCAGATGGATGGCTCAGTGGTTAAGAGCTCATACTGTTATTTCAGAGTATGCAGAGGATCCAAATTCCATTACCAGCTCCATCAGCTAGCTCACAACCTGCCAGATCCAGGAAGATCCAATCAAAGCAGAAATAAAACCCAAGTCCTTTGACACAGGCATTCCATCCTCTGCAACTGTGGTAGTTGAATAAGAATTGCCCCCATAGGCTCAATACTTAAATACTTAGTTATCAGCATGGCATTACTTGGAAGGATTAGGAGGTGTGGCCTTGTTGGCGGAAGTGTGTCGCTGGGGTGGGCTTTTGAGGTTTCAGAAGCACAAGCCAGGCCCAGTGGCTCTCTCCTCCTTTCTGCTGCCTGCAGATCCATGTAGAACTCTCCACTACTTTCTCCAGTATCATGTCTGCCTGCCTATTGCCATGTTCTCCATACTCGCCCTATTCTCCGCTACGATGAAAATGAACAAAAGTTCTGAAACTGTAAGCAAGCCTTTGTAAGAGTTACAGTGTTCATGACATCTATTAGCAATAGAACACTGACTAAAACAGTGCAAGTCAGAATAAAATGGTTTCATAGGGATGTATATGATGAAAAGCATTTAGAGAAGGAAACATCATTTTTCTCTAAAATACCTGATTTTTATGCCACACAAATGTCAAAGTATGCGGTCTAAGTAATAGTTGCCAGGAATGACATAACTCTCTTTAGTGTTCTGGTTAGCTTGGTGGTTTTGTTGTTGTTGTTTTTTGTTTTGTTTTGTTTTTGTCAATACAACCTAAAGTCAACTGGAAGATGGAACCTCAGAATGGATTGGCCTCTGGGCTTATCTTTGGAATATTATCATGATTGCTAACTGATACAGGTAGGCCCAGCTCACTGTGGACAGTACTACTATCTCTAGGCAGGTGGTCCTGGACAGTTTAAAAAAGCTAGCTGAACATAAGTAAATGAACTAGTCAGTAAGTATTTTTCTTCAATGGTTTCTACTTCAGAGCCTGCTTGAGTTGCTACCCAGACTTCCCTTGAGGAGGGACTCTGACCTAAAGTTTAAGTTAAAGAAATGGTCTTCCCTTCCCAGTTTGCTTCTTGTCAGAGTATTTTAATTACAGCAACATAAATCTAAGTAGAACAATTAGAAACAGTATTTCCTTAGCAACTGGTAGGAAAGATGCCATATTTTTACTATCATAATAGAACTGAAGATAATTTAAGAAAGAATTAAACAAAAATCTACACAGAACCTGGGCTATGTGGGAAGCTGAGACAAGAGACTTGCAAGTTCTAGGCCTGAGTGGGCCATACAGTAAGTTCAAATCCAGTTTGGATACCTTAGTGAGTCCCTGTCTGAAAATCAAGAGTTGGGCATGTATCTGTGGTCATGTGCTTACCACTGCCTCAGTCCTAGGTTCAATCAATCCTAGAACCACTGCAGCAGCAGCAACCATCTATCCAGAGAGGCACTGAAATTAGACACCTGTCTTCCTATACTTTATCTCAGAGTCCAGAGGTGGGGCATTGACAGCCTCACAGGGTTGATACCTTACTGTTCTTTGACTACAGTGAATTCTCAGGTACAGGTCAGTATATAGTGACGGACTACTGATGAGAATTCTTTTTTTTGTTTGTTTGTTTTGTTTTGTTTTTCAAGACAGGGTTTTTCTGTGTAGCCCTGGCTGTCCTGGAACTCACTCTGTAGACCAGGTTGGCCTTGAACTCAGGAGAATTCTTGATTAAACATTTTTTTTTAAAAAAGGAAGGCCAATACAAGCACTTTTATTGTAATAAAACTTGAACCTCATTATGTAGGGTGGGGTAGCATAAAGGAGTCAGACAAAAAGAATTTATCTCACCAAACCACTATATAGAACAGCAAAGGGCAAGAAGGGCTGGAGAAGGAAGAGCCTAAAAGCTGGAATCAGCAAAAGCCAAGCACTAAAACTCAGGAGGTTCTCAGGGCAAAACCGACAGCCTCACTGTCTTAGAACAGTTGCACATCTGGGCTTTCACTCGGCATGAACTAAGCGGTGCCTTCCATTTGAACTCGTGAGTTCCTAAAGTTTAGGAAGTGGAACTTGGAAGTTACAGGATTACACAGGTTCTGAGCATCCATTAGTGAAACCGCAGGATGAAAACAAACAGGGTCCAGAGCTACAGATGTCCCTGCTGGAGGAGGAACAGACACAGTGTACTACAGGTGACATCGAAAGCAGATAAACTCAATGCACTCACCTGGCTCCAGACACTTGTCTGGTAAAAAGCATTGAGCCGAGCTGAGTGACGGCTTTGTCATGGTGTCCATCTAGCGTTGTAAGTGTCATAGCTAGGAGAGAAGAGACACTCACTCAGCAAGCTTCTGGACTACAAAACCACTCAAGACAAATAATGACAAGGAAACTGTTTTCATGCACTGTCCCATGGACAACAGCACTTTACTGTACTTGACAAATTAAGCAAGTATTGCTTCTGTATCAGATATATTTAATTTTGAGAAAACATGTTCACAATCATGGACAAAATTCACATCTCTCCCTTTTAGAAAGTTAATTTTTGGCTAAATACACGGAACAATGGAGTGATCAACGGAGCTGTTGACTGAACTCCACCAACTTGGAGGAACTCATGCAATGAGAGTGTGAAGTCTTCTCTCTCCGTCCATGCAAGACCAAGATCAACTTCTGCACACACAGATAGAAAACTTCACAGAGAGGAAACCTGACAGGGAGTGGTAAGTCGCACCCTTGCACGCACCTCTGCCATAGCCATTGCTTACCGAAGGCTCACTTGTCATGTTGCACCCATGACAAACATCTCGACCAACCTTAAGCAGTTTTACATGCTGGATTATTATCTCCCTATCAGAGGTAGGGAAACGGGATTGGGCACTAAAACACAGTAACACCGGTGTTCCAACTTCCCAGCATGATCTGCTATGCGGGCAAAGGATTAAGGGCTATGTTTTAGGTACCGGGCCCCACATTTCTCCACAGATGCCCATCCCAAAAAGACTTTTGTTATAAATGATTCACTTTCCTCAACTGGATGAGAAATATAAAACACATTCTACTTCATATATTCATAAACTAATTATGAAACTTTTAAGTTACTTAAGTATGTAAAAGTCAAGTGTTCATTTTTTTTGGTTTTTTGAGGCAGGGTTTTTGTGTATCCCTGGCTGTCCTGGAACTCCCTCTGTGGACCATGCTGGCCTGTTCAAGGCTGCCTCTGGAATGAAAGTCATGTGCTACCACAGGCTGGCTCAATTATTCACTTTCTAAAAATGCTTTCTATTTATATATTTGTTTGTAGACATGTTCATGTGTGTTTAGGTGCCTCAGAAGCCAGAAGAGGCTGTTAGATTCCTTACAGCTGGAGTTAAAGGCAGTTGTGAACTGGTCTTGCCAGAGCTAGAAACTGGACTTACATCCTCTGCAAGAGGAGCAAGCATTTTTAATCACCGGGCATCTCTCTAGCCCACTATATTCATTTCAATAGCTCCCGAATTCACAATACAGTTCTTCCTAACGTGAAGTGTTCCTAACAAACAAAGGCACAAAAAAGGCTGTGTTGGTACTTTGTTAACTGAGCAAATTTTCATGATAAGAAGCAAGCTCTAAATTTATATATATATATTCATTATACTTGTTACCGATCTGATTCCCTCAGTTGATAGGTTTTTACCTTACAGAAACATTAAAGCATTTTAAAGGCTAAGTAAACTAACTTACCAATTAATACTGGGATGAATTTAAAATTATCAGCATATAGAAACAACTTACTGTTTCTATAAATGATAACATCTTTCTAAGAATATCTCAAATATTTTTCTATTAAAAGAAGAAAATTACCTAAGGATATGGGGTTGTGAGGTGTCTGCAGTAGTCTTTCATTGTGGGCCTCTGCCAACTTCTTTAGTTGGGTGGATAAATAGACAAACATTTCCTGAAATAACAAAGTATCACATTTAAAAATTAAATGAATCCAACTCAAACCATAATACAAAATCTGGCTGGTATGAAGTATATGCTATTCATTATCTCACCCATGACTCTCCTTTACCTCAATAGAGTGAGATTCAGAGCAACTGCGAACAGCAGAACCATGGGATTCGGGGAAAAGGCAGCCCCAGCCTACTTCTGGTCTTGGGCTGTAATATATTTCATCTCTGCAGAACTTTTAGAGTTAACACTTCAGAATTATTTTGGTTGGAAGGGGAGCATATTGTCAAACTGCCCAGGCTAGAGATGACCTTTTGATCCTCCAGTCTCAGTTACCCAAGTAGCTGGGATTATAAGTATGTACTGACACACCTGGCAAAGAGCAAGCACTCCCCCTAAATAGCCATCCATTTCTGGACACAATACCAGCACAACAGATGACTCCTCCAACTCTTCAGCACTCTGCGCTGTTCTAAACAGGGACCAGAGTGGTTCTTCCCCACCATAATCATCAGTTCCTGTCTTTCTCAGGTGACTTCTTTTTGCAACTACTAAACAATGTCTTCAAAGCTAAAATGTATTCATTTAGTATGCAAGTCACACAGTAATTGGTAGTTTAAAAAGTACACTACCATGTATGTATGTGTGTGTACATGTGTGCACCCCAAGTCAAACCAAGGCCTTGAGTGTGCCAGAGAATGCTCTACCTCTCAGCTATATCCCTAGCCCCAAATCTATTCTGTTTAAGGTGCAACAGTTAAAATTAACAATTCTTTTAATTCACAGACTACAATATCTAAAACTAAAACTTGTACTACTTTGCCAATAGCATAAAAATGTAACAAATGTTTCTAAGTCTAAAATGTGACACATATAGACATGGCAGTATAACTGAGTCAGCAGATATTAAACTGAAGTTATTTTCCTCTGTGTCTGCTTTTGAAATGGTGTAGACTGCAAATCTACCAAGTCCCTCTGCAGTAGGGTAAGTCTAATTTCACTGACCTGCATCCATGGCCGAACATAAGTTCTAAAGAGACACCAGGGCTAACAGAGAAAATGATACTTTTCAAGTTCAAAGGCCACAAAAGCTGCTTCTGCTTCCTCCTTAAGGTAGCTCTCTCACTGTAGTTTTTGAGACCTGAAGTCCATGGATGAACAACTATACCTGGTAACAGATCAGGACTGAGAGAGGAGGGAGAACGCTGTCCAGTATTATGAACTACCAGGTTCCTTAGAGCTATAAAGGCCTCATCCAATGCTAACAACAGTATTTCATATTCTCATCTAAAATGTTATACTAATAATCATTCTTAAATTGGGAGTATTTTATAAGAACAATTCTTAGCATGTCAAAATCATGAAATATTAGATCACTAAAGTAGTTCTTCTTATAACCAAAAAGTCAAAAAAAAAATCACAACTGATATCCATTAGATGGGGTAAGACTTCCTCTTGTCATTCATTCATAAATAAATCACAATTATTAGCTATGGAAAATATAAATTATTTTCAATTAAAAAAAAATGTTATACAAGGGTGTCTTGCCTGCATGTATGCGTGTGTGCCTGGCGCACACAGAGGCCAGAAGAAGGTGTTGGTTTCCCTGAAACTAAAGTTAGAGATGACTGTGAGCCACCATGTGAGTGCTGGGAACCAAACCCACATCCCCTGGAAGAGCCTCATTCCAAGGCCATCCTCAGTCTTTCTGCTCTTTAGGTCTGCTCTCCACAGTGCCTGTAGCGTCAGAGCTATGGAGGACAGGAGCTCATCTAGCAGCTAACATCTTTAGTGCACTATCTTTTTCCAAGCACATTTATTAACATTCAATATTTACCTGTATCTCAAAATACATCCCTATGTGCACGCTGTTTGATAATGACAGCCACAACTGTCATATACAAACAAAAACATTCCGCCCTGTACTGAAGAATTAGTATTCTACTTCAGTTTCTACTTACATCTTTTACATCTTTTTTCCTGTATAATTCATAACTTCATTAAACTATAAATAAACACAATTTGAATAAATTTTTTGAGAAATATTTAAGACAACTGTGGTCATTTTCAGAAATGGGGTGGAAAAATTATGTGAAAAGCTATCTTTTCTTGTACATTTTATATAAAGATTTTCCTAGATCATCTCCAAACCATTCTTCTAATACTCCTTCAAAAAGTAGACCATGTAAGAATCATATAGAAGTAAAAATATCAAGAATTTTATGGTAATTAGAACAACTCAAAATCTCTTACTACTATATCAGTTCCTAAAAGTAGAATTCATGAATTTCATGTGTATATTTTCGTTTCCTACAAAGCACACAGGTTGCTAATTTTATTTATTTATTTATTTTTTAAAGCCCCCATTTCCACATAGATATGAGATGCTAATGTCTCATTATTTGTACTATTTCACTAAAATCCTAATGTTCATCAGAAGGTCTAACACTTCCAGACTCTCATTAGAAGGAATAAACCTGGTAGCCAAGAAATGTCCTTTATGGATTCCTATGTCCCCCTAGCAACAAGGTTTGTCCACTGTTCACTTGTTATTAAGTGTATATTAAAGAAACAAAGTTCTTTAGTTTATGTACTTCAGTGCTGAAAGCCTACTTAAAATAATCTTCTAGCCAGCATGGCTGTCACACCTGTAGAGTGGAACTAATCAGTACATAATTTGTACCTGAGCTAGGTTTTCTTCTGAAAAAGAGCAATGTTTCCTCAGTAACATCCCAAGAGAGGGCCTGCAAATGTGACCATGCACATATGGTTATTAGGAAACTGAATCTGAACACTTTCAATCCTAATCCATCAGTAAATTACTTTAAACCAGTACTATCGATCACTGGCTAATGCCAACAAAACTGACAGGTTCATATTTGTTAAGACCTGGTCTCACTATGTAGCCTAGATGGTCTTGCCCTTCTGAATGCTGGGGTTACAGGTACCTAGCTCCATCCCTAGCCAGAATTCAGTTTTAACAGTAACTAATATCAGTATGGAAATCTTTATATTATAAAGTGACTAAATCTCATGCATCATTAGTACTAAAGTAACACAATTTTTAAAAATTATTTTCAAATGAAGTTCACACCTAGCAGCAAATATTTTCAGTATCTTTACTGAGTGCAGAGGTTGTAATAGGTAAACTAATAGCTCTAAGTGCAATATATCGAACTGCACAATAGTCCATGTATTAGAGTACTAAATGCTCTATTAATATCACCACACTTTAAAAATATCTTTCAGGATACTGTATGGCTATCCTACGCTAACACTGAGCTAAGCAATTTTTGCCTGATGCATGAAGGTGCTACAGAACTTGTACTATTTTCTGCTACAGTTAAATCTATAACTGACATTTATTATAAAATACTTCTGTAACGGAAGAAATTTATAAGCAGCCCAAGCAAATGTATATAGAAAGATCTTACTTCAAGAAATGAAATAATATTGATTTTCTATGCCCTTTGTGCTGTATTTAACTTCATTTTAGAAGACTTTCAGTAGAGATAAACTGAACTATATACCTGAATGCTAATGTCAGCTATATTTCTAGAACAAAAACACAAAACCTTACACCATAGTTCATGATGTTAATGAAAAAGGAGTCAAATTCTATTAAGCATTATATTTTGTATATCTGTTGGATTGCAGAATGACCTGCAGTCATGAAAGCCAACAGCCATACTATCCCTCATCAGAGTCCAGATGTGCATAGTTCACTAAACTTCCAAGAGAAGGTCTTGGGATGTCTGTGAAACATCCTGCTTCATGTGACAGGGTGAACAGGAATGGTAATCCACATCTGTCTCAAAAAGTGTGTAAGGAACCAAACCATGGACAGATGGACAATGACATGGATATATAACCCACACACAAAGATGTCACAGCTATGGAAAATGGTACTAAATATTGTGGTTCCCCCTACCCCCCACTGTGGCTGGCACCAAGGATCTACACACACTCAGTAAGGCTTGCCTAAGTGGAAAAACACTGCCTTCAAGGTGCTGAAGCCCCACATCCAGGACCCAAACCAGACATTTGCAAGATTCAAGCATTCCACTTTCAGGGCACAGATGAACCATTGCTTCTGAAGCTTAGCTCTGCTATGAGACACTGAGTTAACGAATCTGGTGTTCTCCTAAAACACGGTTTGTCCTGTAAGCCTCAGCTCACAACAGCCACTCTACTACATTCCTCTTCTGTGCTTGCCCAATTCAGCAGATACTTGCAACAATAAATGATCATCTGCCACCCTTCAGCAAAGCATTCTTCTCTAAGAAGAGCTGAGCAGAATAATGGGCTTCTCTGGAAGCCAAGCAGAAGTGACGACAAACTTCTAAGGCTGATCTTTTCTTTTTGCATAAAGAAACTCAGAGAAACAGCTCTTGTATTTTAACCTCTTTTCTTAAAGGTGTCTTCCATTTAACTCCTGGTCATTCCTCCCCACTATGAAGCAGATGCACTGATCAGGAAGGGGCTAAGGGCAAAGAGGCTCAATTCACACACAAAGTTCCACTCTCTGATCCTTTCACCCTTCAAAAAGGAAAGCTTGAGAAAGGGAATGGCTTCAAGCTGAGTTCTTGTCTGCCTCTACTGTGACAAAGGTAAAGCCTTTTCTGAAGAGATATAGCTGGAAGAAATAACCTCTAAAAATACCATTGTGGGGAATAAGGGCACAGAATAAAAAGAAATCCTAAGTTTTCCTTTAACGCTCCTTTTTTTAGTACACATAACAGCAATAACAAAAAAAGGCTCTCAGTGATGGTTTATAAATAGCTCTGGCTGGTGCAAAATAGCTTTGCCTCAGCTTCTCCACAGCTGAACCAATAAACTACCATGATGAAATGTTCACAGCAGAGAGAAGTCCATTTAGACAAAGCCCACTACATTTCTGCATCAAATCCAATAAGAAAACAATGTTTATGCTACACATATGCAATTGTGGTTATAGAGGAAATCCACATTTTCTTCAGGAAGACCTACTGGGTAAAAACAGTAAAGAACAATTTTATTTTCATGCAATGTCAGAGTTCTCAGAACAGCATTTTACTGTCCTGAAAATTACTCCATTAGACAGCTTTTGTTCTATGTAAATTCTACACAAAGAATTTTAAATAAAATCAATTAGTGCACATGTGAGCTTCCTCCACTAGATAGAACGGGAGGATCACGGGATCGGTCATCATCTTTACAGCTCAAATGCCTAGCATGACAGGATGGGTCACTCCACTCCCTCAGTGCTGTGTGACTAACACAAATAAGAGAAGACTGTTTGGCAAGTAAGATAAGACAGTGCTAACACAGAATACAGAGGGGCCTGGACAGCACCCAGACTCTGTCTTTACCAGCATTCTGGGACTTGCAAATGGCCAGCCAGTCCTCAGTCCAGTACATCTTCCCAGATCACAATTTCACATGTAAAATGGAGACAATTCCTACCACATGATAAAAACAACACTGAAGAACGGATATAGTGAACCTAGCAGAGGACCAGTGATGTGGCTTAGTAGGTGCGCAGGCCTGACACCTGAGCTCAATCCTGGACCTCACAGTGAAAGGCAAGAACCAACTCCTGAGAGTTGTCCTCTACCACCCACAATCATGAACCCACCACCTGAGGATCAGTCTGTAACAGCGATGCTTTTATGGCAGTATAAATCTATAGGTTTATTCCTACGTGTATAAGCTTGTTGTCTGGTTTAGCCAAATACAATTTATACATGTAAAACTTCAAGTATATGCTTTCCAAATGTTCACATTGTCTGAGTTTTGGAAAACATACAGAGCCACAAAACCACTTCCACTAAGGACATAATTGTAAGGCATCTCACCACCCCAAAAGATGCCTCCCTGATCCGAGCCTCCAGTGTTCATCTGTGTTTCCTGTCCCCATCTCTTCTACCTTTTCCATGGTGACATACAGATGAGACTGCACGGGAGTCTTGTGAGTCAGCTGCATGCCACTTATTATAATGCACTGGAGCTATCATCTGCTGTACATCTGGAGTCTGATCCTTTCCACTGCTAAGGAAAGATGTACCAGTGTGTTCCTCTGTTCATCAAATGATGAATACTTACTTCCATGTTTGGACAATTATAAACTGAGTCATTATCAGCACCCAACTATAGGTTTTCACACAAACTCAAGCTTTCATCCTCTTATGTAAACAGCTAGAAGTAGAAGAGCTGCTTGGGTGATTCTGTCTAACTTTTAGGGCGTTGCCACAGCAGGTTCCAAAGCTGCATCTGACATTCCTATCAACAATGTCAGCTTGACAGAATTCAGTATTGTCAGGTTTTTGTTGTTTTAGTTGTGGTTTTGTTTTTACCTAGTGTGTGTGTGTGTGTGTGTGTGTGTGTGTATATGTGTAATGTAAGAATGTAAGGTTGTTCACTGTGGTTTTAATTTGCATATCTCTAATGAATGACCATGTAAATCTTAAGAAATATCCTCACAATTTAAACAGTAAATAACTACTTGCCCATGGATTAAATTATTAGGAAAAGTAAGATTGGAGTAAAATGGCACACAAACTTAAACATCAATTCTGTGTTAGGAATAACACTGTTAGAGGAGCTATGCGATAACAGCCATGTCCATGTGCTTTAAAACCTGTGAAGCACAACTGAAGGATTCCATTTCTAGTTGACACCATAAGGCTGCTGAGATACAAACACTATGCCAGTGGTCTCTAGCACTCCTGGATAGATGAATAATCACCTTAATCTGACCTAACCCATCAACAATTATAGAACTGTCTCAAATGAAGCTTTGCTGTGATAGTTTGTTTTAAAAAAGATTGGGTCTCACTATGTTGCTCACAATTCCTGGGCTCAAGTGATCCTCCTGCCTCAGCCTCCTGAGTAGCTGGGACTACTTCAGGCCAACACCACCAAGTTATCACTTTTTTCCCCCACAGCCAATATAAGTAATGAGTCCAGTGTTTCAGCAACGATGAAGGAGAGATTTACTGTTTTAATGTAAGAAGCGGCCAACTTCTATCATACCAAAACAAGCCCTCATGTTCCCAAATCACTCAAAAGAAAACTTTTCCATTTGTTTTTCAAGAGCCTCTCTGCTAGAAGTGATGATAGATGCTTGTAGTCCCAGCAGAGGCAAGCAGAGGCAGGAGGACTATCCCAAGTTTGAGGCCTGCCTTGACTACATAAGCAATCTCCAGGCCAGCCATGGCAACACAGCAAGACCCTGCTCAAAAAAACCAAAGCAGAGCTGGTGAGATGGCAAAGCAGGTCAAAGGCCTTCCTCTTAAGCCTGGTGACCTGATTCAGACTCTGCTCTCACAAATTGTTCTCTGACATCCACACACACACATGCCATGGCACAGGCACATGGGCGCTCAAATACATGTAAAAGAAAACTGTTCAATAATAATAAAAAAATAAATAAGGGGAGCTCCTTTACCTTTAGGTGACACGTGAACAAATAATTCCCAATACAGATGTTTCTAAACAAAGACTAACAGTAAAATAATGCATGTGAACTACTCCTCAGCATCTGCACAGACAGATGTCTCCTATATTAGAGAGGACAAAACACCAATGGCGACTCCCATCTGAGTGATACACTCAGGCTAGAAGAGCAGCACTCAGTGCATGGGCATTCAGTGCACAGGCAGACCTCACCTTTCTCTCCTTCAACAGCTTCTTGTAGCCACTGCAGCCGAGTGACAACAAGGTGATGAGGACGTCTAAGGACGGTGAAGCTGAGGCCCTTCCTGAAAACAGATGGACAGGGCACATGAAGGAGAGCTGACACATGGGGAGGCTCTGGAAAATAAGACTCATCACAGAAGGCTATGTGCATGTGGATTTTTACCCATAGTTATTTTCCCCCAAACCAAGTTACCTACTTACCTGGATACATCTTGCTGATTTCCTGAATGAAGGGATCATTAAAGCCAGCAATTATAGCACCACCTACTGGAACCATAAAATTTTTGTCCAAGCTCTGAACGAAAGCATCAATTCTACCAACCCGAGCCCCCTAGAATCAAATAACATGTGGGTCACAATGAGGACAAATAACTGCTATTAACAAGTAAAGGCCACAAGAACAACAACAAAATCATGTTCTACAAAATGATACATACAAGTTTAACTTCATTCTCACATTTGCAAAGGCTGCTACTAACTTTACCTTAGTTATAAAGTAAAAATGAATACCCCTAAAACAGTACATAGATGGTTTTTCAAAAACAGGTGAAGGACTGTAATTGGCTTTGCAGCAGGGCAAGTCCAGGGTTTACAGGACTAAACCCCAGCTCTGAGCGGTGCTCATTATACGAAGAACACCAGCACTCTGCAGTGACAACTGCTCTCACAGATTAATCACAACTCATAACCTCTGGGAAGCAGGTGGGATTTCATTACCAGTATGAGTAGGAATTCCTGTGTAACAGCTTTTTACCTTAAAACTGAGAAAGAGACAAAGCATGTCCCTATGCCCTGCACCTGTGTCCTTTATTTGACAATAAGGTCTGTAGTGATTAAGTAGTTTAAATGCTGGCATCACAATCTAATAAAACTACAGCTGCCCAAAGTACCAAGCAGCTAGAAAATTAAGTGCCTCTCTCCAATACTTGAGATAATCTACTTTCTTCTTTTTTAGGTTTATTTGTTTGTTTGTTTCTCAGTGCTAAAGATTGACCCTCGGGCCGGGCAAGCAATCCACTCCAAGAAACAACAAGCTCTACTTCCCTGATAACGACCCTGATCACAAAAGAGAAGCCAAATTTTATGCTTATCATCAACGAATGGCAATTTCACTTGTATAATCCTGGTAGTTCCAAAAATGATGCTTCTCCATAACTTGTGGCTCTTAACACTGTGACCTTAGACAGTCTCATTCCACACAAAGTGAACTTCAAACAGAGTCTAATAACCCAGCACAGAGCAGAACATGCACCAACTGGAAATGTGGAACTAAGTTCTGCTTCCAATCTGACACAGCTGTGACCTTCTGTCTAATGTGGTGCAATTTTCCACTCTTAAAAATGGAGATACTATCTAAATTTCAACTCACATAGTTTTTTCTTTATCTGCAGCCACAGATTTTCAATCTGTATTCACAATCTACGTTCCTATTAATATTATAACCACATTTGACCTTCGTTCTCATGCTTCCTGCCCACCTCTGTATCTCAGGGAGAATAGAAATGGTGATAGCTGGTCTAATCTGACAGAGCAGATGTGGGCAGCAGGCAGAGGCGGCAGTAGCTGGGAAGGAGAGCAGAGCGCTCAGGCCATCGCCTGACTGTTTCAGCCTTATTCTTGCTGTGACTCTTATTTCTTAACAAACTGCGAACAGAGGCAAAGCCACCTCGCCTCAGGAAGAGGAAGCAGCACAAACACCAACAGAATAAACAATGGGAAAGCACAGCGAGTTGTCCCAGGTAAAAAGTGGCTGCACATAACTATCTAGGCTTTCTGAGAGGAGCCTGAACCTAAACTGGGAGAGGGAAGGCTGAGAGAAGGAGGAATCAGCACTCCAGACTGCTATATCGCCCGCCCTCTCACAATGAAGACTGCACACTTCACCGCAAGAAAACAAGCCATACTAGATCTCAGAAATGTTCAAGGGTCACACTTCCCACACTAACAAAACGCTACCACTAAGGAAGAAAAAGAAAAAAAACCAGCAGGGCAGAGGCTGACGGGAAATAGGATATCACTGTGTATTTTGCATGATGTATTTTGGTAGATCACACACTAATGGGAACCCAAAAGATCCACTGAATGAAATGACAATCAGGCATGAGCTGAAGCAGTAGTCACACTCTGCTCTAGTTCTTAACAAGTAAACTTGCTGCTTCCCACACTTTGGAACTTCACATTCCATTCTAAACAGTCAATCCCACACATATTTTTATAGCTCTATGTGCCTCTCTATTAATCTGTCCTAATCATTCAAATTAGGCATTTCAGTAAATATAACAAACGAGATGTGTATTTCTTGAGACTTCTTATACAGAATATCCTATCTGCACAGAACTAAGTCATTCTGGGGCATCTTTTGAAAGTGCTACATTTCAGATATAATGGTTTTCTTCACTGACCACATGGTTACTATAATATTGTTGACTTGGGGTTTGTGTGTGTTGTGTTTACGGGGGAAATCTGGTGTTGACTGTGTCAAACAAGCTGTTCTGCAGCTATGAGAGCTCAGGCCAGTCACTTAAACTACTGAGCTTGTTTCCTCATCTATGAACGGGAACAATAAACAGAACACCTTCATTTACTAGGATAAGGTTAAAGACACTAAGAGCCTGACTGATGCCTATCACACATGGTGGATCCCTGTATCACCACAGCTCTGAGTTAACTTTATAATGTCATGACACAGCAGTCAGTACTCAACAACCGTATTTACGTGGTTTAAACCAACAATGCCATGACCTCTCCTCATACAGGCCAATTTGCAGAAATGTTTACTTACTACTTAAAGATAAATCGATTTTAGAAGGCAATATAATACCTACAAGACAGAGTCTGCATTTGAGAACCATCTCACACACAATGATGAAGTGAGGCAACAGGAAGAGAAGTCCCAAGAATACCTTTCCCATCAACTCCACAGTTCCATTTTCCAGTATTCAAAAGTATGCTGTGAGCCCCAGAACAGTGAGCACTTTTCAATTAGGGAATAACGTCTGAGTAAATGACTAGTTTGGGGCCGCAGAGACACCTCAGCAATGAGAACAACTGCTGTTCTAGCATGAAGACCAGAATTCTGATCTCAGCACCCCATGTCATCTCACAAAACATGTTGAACTGTAGCTCCAAGGGATGTAAGGCCTCTTCCCGCTCCTCAAGCCATGGGTCTCCCCTAGCTCTCTCATACATTAAATAAATAAATCAAAATGAACCTTTCAAATGATGTGTGTGAAAACAATACAGCTATGTAGAAAGTATAAACATATAACTAACAAGGCCTAAAGTATTTTGTAAAATGTACACAATGACTACACTATGTGAAACCAGTACGTCCACAGGAACAGAAACTGTTCATTATAAATGATTAAAGGTACTTATAAGATTGCTATGATCACCTGCTCCTTCCTTTCATAAACCTTTACAAATGCTAATGCATTTGAATTTCAAAAGCATTAAAGATACAAGGAGGAGAGACAGTGGGCCACCCGCCCTGACAGGTTGAGTTCAATCTCCAGAACCCACATGGTAGAAGCAAAGAATTGACTCCTACAAGTTGCCCTCTGACCTCCATATATACGCTATGGCACACATGTGTGCATGCGCACACACACACACACACACACACACACACACAAATGTAGTAATTTTTAAGGATTAAAAACTAAAGAGAAGAACATGAGGAAGGAGGGGCATAGAAGTGAGTAATCTGTGTAAAGCGTTTTCACAAGCTCCATCAGAGACCCTTGTGCATCTTTCTTCTGCTCTAGAAGAATTCTAGAATTGGATCATACCTGATCCAATGTATGGATCTGTGAGGCAGTCTTGAAAAGTTAAGGAATGATGAAAAGATACCAAAGGTAAGAGTGGATAAGGAGAGATCAGAGGGCAGAACCTACTAAAAAATTTTTAAGATCCTGGAAAATGTTTAAATTTTTTTTTAAGATTTGAAAATGTATTTTTATGTATTCACATGGTTCCTTCTTACTCTTCCTGTGTTCATTTTTTTCCTTGGTATAAAATATAATCATCAATATTGCTTTTGAAATACTGTAATTCAATACATTAGAAAAATGAACGTCCTGGGGAGAAAAAAAAAAAAAAAACAGAAGAATCCCATTGAAATATTTCTTTGTTTTTTTCAGGACCATCACATTTCACCAGGGCTTAAAAAAATGGCTCATCCACTAAGAACCCTTGCAGTCCAACCATAAGGATCAGAGTGTGGCTCCTAGAACCCACATGCTTCACATACCCATAAAACCCTAGCTCCAAGGAGGATGAAGACAGAGGATCACTAGGGCTCGCTGGCTTCTAGCCTCACTGAGAAAATTCAACCCACAGGTTCAGGAGAGACCCTGCCTCAGGGGAAAAACAGAAGGGCACTCAAGACCCTCTTCTGATCCCCGATTGCACAAACTAGCATGCTCACACAGACACATAGGTGTGCACACACTTACATACAGAGATACATGCACACACATAAATTATATGCATAAACAAATAAGTCTTTAAAAGCTACTATTCAATTACCATTATACTACCTAGGAATAATGACTTTTACTAATAGAATACTGTATACAAATTTCTAATGTTCCCTGAAGTAGAGAGAACTAAATAACATTTACTGTATTGGGTTATAGAAAAAAGTCATAATCCTACAGAATATAACATTAATAATAATTCACCTGCTGAATGAGATGCATGCACTTTGAAGACTGTAATCCATAAGCGTTGTTGACTACATGCGGAATGTCATAATTAGCACAAATCACAGCCAGTTCTTCTAATCTATAAACATAAACATTTACAGAAAGACATACTCATACTATGCTTTATAAATAATTATGGAAAGTTTTTACTAATAGCCAGTCTTAAGGTATACCAGGGAAAGGGAGAGGAGTGACAAACTGAATTCCCTCTGTATAGTATCTTTACATGTAATTCACCAGCCTAGAAATACAAAGCAAATACTTTAGGAGACCTAGAATACCTTTTAATGTTATCAATGAATGAGACAAATGTATCTATAAAAGCTATGACTTGGGAGGCAGAGGCAGGAGGATCTCTGTGAGTTTGACATCAGCTGGGTCTACATAGTGAATTTTAACAAAGGTCTACACAGCAGGTTCTGGGCCAGCCAGGCTACATAGTAAGAGCCCGTCTAAAAGGAAAAAAACAACAACAAAATCTTATGATGATAACTTTTAACCAATTTCCAAACTTTTTACACACAAGACAAAGATGACTCTCACAGAGCGCTGTGACTCTTTTCTTACTGTTCTGACTGCTTACCATATTAAGCTAGTGCTGGCAAAACAATGAGCATGTCTGGAAACCTTAAGAAAGCTCACAGAAGGAAAATTACAACATTCCTGTACAAAAGTCACTGACCACTGGCATTGCCTAACAACCTGGATACATCTTTTTAAAAACTGCAGGCTTAAAATCTACATTTCTTCACTCTTCATTTGACACTCCTCATATAGACAATTTAAGTCTAACATGTATGAAATATGGTAATGAACCACAACACAGTAGAGGTCTTTGTGACTAAAACCACCTGTAAAAGTGTCAGCACACTGCAAAACTATAACTAAATCCTGGGATGCAATTACACTGATTTTTAAATGTTTTGTTTCACAGAATAATTTGGAAATAAAGCATTTTAAATTTTCTTTCCAAAAGGAGGTATTTAAATACATGGCATCAGGAGGCAAGTGGATCTCTGTGAGTTTGAGGCCAGCTTGTTCTACACAGTAAATTTCAGGCCAGTCAGGAGATACACAAGACCTTGTCCAAGTAAGTAATGAATGGTGTGGTCTTATTACTAAGCTATGCATGATGTATCTTTTTTTCTAGATGTGAGCAAGTATGTTTTAAAACTATAAATGGGAATAAGATCATGTTCATGTATCAGAAACTTTTAATTTGCTTCCTTCAAGTATTATAAATTGTGGTGGTGGTGTAGGTAATAATGGTCTACATACACTCAACTATTTCAATGCTTAGTCATCAGGGTATGTTACTACTTAAGAAAAAACAGGATGTGTGACCTAGTTGGAAATGTGTCATGGAGGTAGGGTTTAGGCTTCAAAAGCCCAAGCCAGGCCCAGTGTCTAATCCTGCTGCCTGCAGATCTTGACGTAGAACTCTCAACTTACTGTTCCAGCACCATGTCTAGCTATGTGACTCTATGCTCCCTGCCCTGATAATGAACTAAACCTCTGAAACCATAAACCAGCCCCAATTAAATGCTTTCCTTTGTAAGATTTGCCATGAGCATGCTGTCTATTCACAGCAGGACAACACTAAGACATGAATAAAACCTAATTTTTAGGGCTGGAGAGACAGATTATTCTGTCAGTAAAGTGCTTGCCTTGCAAGCATGAGGATCTGAGTTTAATTCTTCACAATCACAGAAAAAGTCAGGTGTGGCAGCATGTGCCTGAAATCCCAGCAACAGGCAAGCAAAGACAGGACAATCTCTGGGGCTCAGGAGCCAGCCAGACTAACTGAAACAGGGTGCTACAGTGAGAAGCCCTGTCTCAAAACACCAAAGTAAAGACTGATAGAAAAAGACATCAAAATCAGTTGTTGGGGCACAAGCACATAAGCATGGACATAAGCACACACACAAACACACAAAGAAGTACACACAACACACCTGACTAACAATCAATACCAAAATGTCTTCTGCTACTAACAAAATAGACTTGGAACACACACCACACACAGATACACACACACACAGACACACACAGACACACAGACACATACACACACACACACACACACACACACACACACACACACATTCTTCAGAAGATAAAAGACACTTTTTTCATGTGTGTGCTCTAGACAAAGAATTCTCTAATAACCTCCTTGAAAATGAGGTATCATAATATTAAACTTATTTAAACAAATAAACAAATAAAACTTGTAAGTAACTTTAAATGATCTAAATTAATCAGGACATAAAAATATACTAAATGAAAGGTCAAAAAAAAAGCAGAAAACAGATTTCCCATGTGAACCCCACTGATTTCTAAATCAGAATTTTAATAGCCATCAGAAATGGCATTCTTTTAACATTTTTTACATAGATTTCCTATTCAATACTCCACAATAATGGACCAATAAAAACAAAATAAATGATATGCCACTAAAAAAACTATAAAATCAGAAATTCAAATATACTACTAACTTTACACCTCCATTTTCCTAAGCTTCACTAATCAAAAACATTCATTACATCATACAAATCAAATGTAACAAAGGACAGTTTGCTAACTGTTAAACAGCCTGACATAAACCCATAGCAGGTCTGTGTAAACCGATGCAGCACCATGCACACTGAAACCATGGCTCGAGATGAAGCAAAGCTCCCCAGAGAGAAATAACTCACCTAATACAAACACTGTCTTGGGAAATGAAGTTTACTTCTATTCCATTAAAATTTTCTAGAGATTAAAGTTATGAAAGAATACCATTTCTTTTATATTTTGATAGAAATTTTAAATGATTGGTCATTAATAAACTACTACAGCATATGCAACATAGTTTTAAAATAGAATTCATGGGCTCATGAATGACACAAGGAAATTTTTCAAGAGCACGGCTTCAAAATGATCTTTTAAAATTTGCCTGTGAGATAATAAAAGCTAACATGTGGCCATCACTGCCAAACAATGTGAGTGCACAAACATCAGAGCTTAGCAACCAGAGTCCAAAGTCAACATGATTCTTATTCATTAGGACCTCTGTTAAAAATATTGAAATGAGACCAAACTCGAGCTTCTGGCAAAAACAAAAATTCTGTTAATAAACCTAAGCCCTATGACATTTTCAAAATAAAATATTTATGGCTATCTTTTAGAAAAGTGAACATCTGCCACCCCCGTGGCTTTAATTTTCTAATTTATATTATCTTCAAAAATGTGGACAAGCACTGTAAACATCCAGTTTAATCTCCCAGTCACAGAAATGTAAATAATCCTAAACTACTTTATTTGTAGTGTATTAATGACTATAGTTCCTACTTAGCAAATGAACTGCAAGGCCAAAGTAGAGACAGGGGAAATGCGAAACCCAGCATTTCGCTTGACAAAACTTAAGCAATGAGTAAAAACCCTGGGGAGGCTTGAACCGGCAAGTGCAGGAAAGCAGACAAATGAGACGAACTAAGGTTTGGATAGATGGATGTCCTCCTCTGCATCGACTGATTTTCCTTCAGCATCAAACTTTTCCAACTCGCTTCAATAACTGTCCCTAGCATGGACTAGGACCTGGCCAGTAGACTCACTACTCACTACCAAACGTCATCTCAGTGTGCTTGAGACTCAGTGGACAGCCTGTTAGTCAAAAGACTGCTGAGTGAGCGCCTAAAGACCAATAGTCAAAGTCAGTTACCTATCGGGCACCCTCGGAGCAAAGCAGGCTGTGGTAGAATGAAGGCACAGGATATGCTCAGGCCCGAGCTCCTGGATTTTAGCCTCCACGGCTTTCAGGTCTGTGCGCAGTTCATCACCTTCCAGTTCATTTTCTATTACCACGGGTTCAAAACCTAATCAAGTCAACCAGAGAGTCAACTAAGTGTGAGATGGTTCTAGAACTCTAAGCACCAATGCAATGGCACACAGAACTCTAAATACTTATTAAACTAACAAGCTTTTCCTCTAGTAATAAAGATGGTGGCATTAGTCAGAAACAAGTCGAAAGGGTGTGAAGAACAAGTAGACAAAAGGACTGGATCTTCATGTTTTGAAATGATACGGAAAGGACTTTATACTGTAAGGAGAACACATACTAACCAGAGGTCTACAGAAGTTAATTGCTTAGATGCTGATAATCAAAAAGAAACCTGCTTGAGGCTGGAGAGATGCCTCAACAGTTAAGAGCACTGACTGCTCTTCCAGAGGCCCTGAGTTCAATTCCCAGCAACCACATGGTGGCTCACAACTATCTGTAATGGAATCCAATGCCCTCTTCTGGTGTGTCTAAAGACAGCTACAGTGTACTCATATATATAAAATATATAAATAAAGCTTTAAAAAACCCCGATCATTCTCTAGAAACATTTCAATTTCATTTGAGTTTATTACAAAGATAGATATAAATAATAATAAAATTCAAGCACTAAAATAAATCATACCCATAAACTTTGTTTTTCCATATACACACATACCAAAAAAAACTACAATTAATTTCAGTAGCCTGTAGATCACTGACCCATCTCATGGCCCAAGAGTCCTTCATATTTTTAATTGAAATATTGTACTTAACTAGCACATAATTAAAGATCACCTCACAATTATTCAAACTTTAATGGTAAAGTTAAAGTTAAGTAACCTTTAAGTAAGTTTAAAAGTTGCATAAAACAAGATATATACTAAATTTTATGAACACTACAATTTCTTTAAAGTATGAATATGGAGTACATTTAATTTTTCATTTACCTATCTCTACATAAAAATCTGAATTTTCCCATTGGATGTTTAAAATATCACATATGCTGCATGTCTTCTTTTACCTGCAGTGACCATGGATTTAAAGCAGGACTTCTGGTCTATCCGTGGCCATATGATATACTTGGCCTTTGGTCTTTTGTGTCGTAGTGTTAGGAAACACAAGGTTAGACTCATCCCAGTTGCCATAGGAACTACAAAGCAACTGGCCACTGAATGAACACCTACAAATAAGAAATAAAACAATGTATTATCCAATTAAAATCTGCTGAAAGAAATGATACATTTCCTTTATCAAACAGCATGGACTGTAACCCTGATGTTTCCTTCTCATTTGCTCTCATGAAACTCACTGCTGAAGCCAGGGGGTAGTGGTACATACTTTTAATCCCAGTACTTCGGAGGCAGAGAGACAGGTAGATTTCTGTGATTTTGAGGCCAGCCTGGTAGACAGTGAGTCCCAGGAGAGACAGAGTTGCATAGTGAGACCCTGTTTCAGAAAAAAAAAAGACAGAAACATTGCAATTTGCCCGGTGACAGGCCTCAGGAAGCAGAGGCAGGCAGATCTCTGAATTCGAAGGCAGCCTGGTCTACAGAGCAGGTTCCAGGACAGTCAGGGAGTCACAGCGACTCTCCAAAAACCAAACAAAAAATAGTCATTCCTGGGGCTCTAGCTTTCATTTTCTGTCTTATTCTGAAACAGATCCACATGTGTGTCCTTTTAAAAGCCACTCACATTGTTTTTGAAGACACAAAAGTGTAGGAAATGTGTGTGCTTTCTACTCCTCACCACATTATGACTGACATAACACATACCGGCCAGCTTTATCACATCAAGCACCAAAGAATTAGTAATTTTGTTCAAGAGGCTAGAGCCTGCAGCTTTTGGTTGCACAGCAGAAATATCACCAGATCTTCCAATTCCATGGATGAACCTAAGCAAAAAATAGGCCAAAACCCATACAAATACATTCAGTGTTCAAGTAATCAATATGCAGGTTTACAAATAAATAACCAAAAACTAGCAGAGGCAGTTTTCTGTTGTCAGTATACTTCATAAACGACTAATGTGGAAATACCTTCAGTTGAAACAGTTTCAATATATTGTAGTAGATAACCTCCAAAGACCATCATTATCAAATTCTTTCCTCATGTTCATCCACACTAAGACGTACAGCTTAATTCTCCTCCATATTTACAACTGGACTGGGGTTGGGGGAGGAGTTATCCTTCCTGACTTGCTTTTGACTGGGAAGAACATAAAAAGTGACTGTCTGGAGCCTCTGAGTTCTAAAAGATCATAAGAAGCACTGAAGTCTTCTTGGCTTCTTGAAGAGCCTGCTAGTGTGCACTGCCTTCCAAACAGAAGATGGATCTGAGCCCCTAGCCATGTAAACAAGTCATCTTTAATGGACTGCCCACTCTCACCATCAATGAGACTACACTCTTACCTGACATTTGACAACTACACCAGAAACACAAGACACTCAGTTGCTGAGTTCAGTTAACGCCCAGAACCAGGAGGAATAATGATCATTTTAAGCCATTAGCCTTTGGAGTGATTTGTTTAAAACCACAGTACAGGTAACATTCTATTCTCTCTTTTCTGCCTACCAGAGCAGCAGGACAGATTCCAGTCTGAATGAGCTGATGCTTTAGAAACTGTCCTAATTAGTTGTTGGTGGTGACAGTGGTCTTTTGAGACGGGCTCTCACTAAGTAGCTCTGGGTGACCCTATACGTTGGACCCTCCCCCTGTTTCTGTTAAAAACCCTATACGTTGGACCCTCCCCCTGTTTCTGTTAAGTGCTGGGATTATAAGCAGTGCTACCATCTCAAGCAAAAACTTTCCTAATTTTTAAACTATGTTTCTTGAAAATGAGTGTACAAATCCACTTGTCATAAATTAGATTGTTCTATGTACTTAAAAACACCTCAGAATACTCTAATTAAAAATAAACCAACTCCTTCTGCAGCATGTTCCATCTCTTACATTCAACTAGATCAGAAACTATGTCTAAGGAGAGCATTACAGAGCACTAACTAGCGCTGGACTTCCTTAGAGGCACACCTTATATACAAGACTTCCATATGTATTATATGTTGACCTTGTTACCAGGCACCGTTAGACAGGAAATCTGCATCCCTACGCAGTGGCATCAGTTCTGACTGCAAATGTTTTTATTAAAATAAAATTTTAGTATGCCTCAAATACTTTACCTTGATTAAAAAAAAAAGTTTTTAAGAGTTCACATTTCTCACAGAAAGGGTGGAAGACAGAAATAAGCAGTCATATCCAAAAGCACTACCAATAAATGATTAAACCGTTTTTCCCAGGCGGTGGTGTCACATGCCTTCGGTCCTAGCACTCAGGAGGCAGAGGCAGGTGGGTCTCTAAACAATCAATTTTCAGAATGAATTAAAGTCGCAAAAATAATACAAATAATGTAATCATCTAATACAACTGTTCCTCCATCTGTTGGGATTCAGAAAGTGATAAACCACACTTTCAAGTTCATTACTCTCCAATAAAACCTGTATGTTAAAAAGGAAATATGGCTGTTCATGGTGTCAAATGCCTTCAATTCTATGATCCAGGAGGCAGAGGCAAGTGACTATATAAGTCTGAGAACACCATGAGCTACATAGCAAGTTCTAAGCCAGCTAGTTGCAAAGTGATGGTCTTTTTTTGTTTTTTGTTTTTCGAGACAGGGTTTCTCTGTGTAGCCCTGGCTGTCCTGGAACTCACTCTGTAGACCAGGCTGGCCTGGAACTCAGATATCCGCCTGCCTCTGCCTCCCAAGTGCTAGGATCAAAGGCCTGTGCCACCGCTGCCCAGCAAGTTGCTTTTTTTTTAAAGGCCACACCCATGTTAAACATTCTACAAGGCTGGCTGAACTTCTATGATTGCGGCAAGTCAGCAAGTTGCCGGTCCAGAACCAAAACATCTTCCCTCTGTGTGACCTATCACCTCTGTGACTATTAGGTAAATCCTTCTGGAAGTGACAAAAACCCCCTAGCTTCACCTACCCAAAAGCTAAGAACATCATCAGACAACACTTGGCCTGCAACAGGATTTCCTTGCTTTCCTGAAACATCCCTACCTCTATATTTCTACTACTGTATTCAAAAAGTGTCTTGGCCTATGATTTTGTTCTGCGACTATTTTATATAAAAATTTCATGAAATAGTTACCACTCCAGAACATGGTATTTGGGGTCACCTGTCACTTATATCATGTATCTCTAGAATAACTCTTATTCCTTTTGAAGTGAACTTTATTTTTTTAAAAGATTTATTTATTTTATGTATATGAGTACATTATAGCTGACTTCAGACACAGCAGAAGAGAGTATCGGATCCCATTACAGATGGTTGTGAGCCACCCACCATGTGGTTGCTGGGAATTGAACTCAGGGCCTCTGAAAGAGCAGTCAGTGCTCTTAACCCATGAGCCATCTCCCCAGCCCAAACTATGTTTTTTTTTTAATTATTATTAAGCATTTAGAACAGATGTACTAGTTTAAATATTACCAGAACACAGCACTTGTGCTATTGACCAACCAGCATTTCAAAGGGAAACCACGACATATCGGAACTCCAGTTCTGTTGTCATAAAAAGCACCTGCTCCAAGTACTTCCATCTCTCAGTTCCGGTTGATTTCCATACCCATTTGATGAGGGAAGGAATTACTTCTGAGTGGAAACTTCATAATTTAGAAGGAATGCCATCACTATTAGTTTAAGCTCCTTCCATTCCCACCCCCAGAAAAAAATAAATGTTTCCACAACTAGTTTAAGAACCATACCTGTAATGACGACGAGCAACCAAAGCCGAGGCCACTCTCCCTTCCCTTTCTCCCACACCACAGTTACCCAAGAAATTGTTACTATCCATGACTGCAAGCTCATGCAGAAAGAGTTCCAGTGTGCTTTCATCCCAGCCATCCTCTGGACACTTGCCCTTAAAAAAAAAATAATAATAATGACATTTATATTCAGGAAAAGTATCGGTCCCGAAAACTCCCGAAAATCAATGTACCTGAATTCTTCTTAATGTGTTTTAATGACCCCTTGATTCCTCACATCAGACATAAACTCAGCAATATGAAGAAACTACCAATTGGCTAAACGTTCACATTCTATTTGACTACACACTAGAGGTGGCGAATGTATGTAACACAGCCACTGAAGTTTGCTAGGACTCAAACCTCGGTCAAGTTAGGGAAACTGAAAAGGTGATGTCCTCAGTTGAGCTTTCAAACTAGGGGCTGGCAAACCTTGGGGGCACTAAAGTTCAGGACCACTGTCAAGGAAGCAGCGAGGCCTGAGAGGTCAGGCGGAAAGCTGCCCGCTGGAGCAGGTTTCCGGACAGCACGCGAGTGGCCCAGGCTGGGCTAACACTTGGACTTTGACAATTCCGCACACGCTGAGGAGCGCGCTGCCCCTCCCCTCCCTGCAATCGCAGAGCCTGAGTGCCGAGGCCGCGGAATACCTGCTCTAGAAGCAGCCAGATGAGGTGCTCGTGTGCGCGCCGAGCCTCACTGCCCTGCCTCACGTAAGCCGGAGACACCCGCCGCTCGCTGGCCGCGAAGCACTCGGGGTTCATGACGGCGCCCACGAAACACACGCCGAGGCCCAGGATGCAGCGCGCCGCCCTGACGGTACGGGGCGGCCGTGGGCCCAAAACACCCTAGGCCTCCGCCTTCAGCTTCCGCGCATGCGGAGAGCCGTTTTGATTGTCGTCCACCCCCAACCCCAACCACCACAACCACCTGGAAAGAAGTTGGAAACCTTGAGTATTCATGAGCTGGCAAGATTAGCGGGTTTCCGGCGACAGGAAAAAGGGCGTTGGCTTGGGCTAGGTAAACCCTCTTATAATCAAGAACACTGGTACTTCACGAGAGGGCAGAGAAGGCCGAAGGAGCATTGTGTGAGCTTCTCAAGAAATGACGATTAATGATCTGCCCCAGTCATGTTGTTTGAGTCTTCCCCAGACCGTGTCAGATTCCAGAATCTTACATCCATACCTTGATATATTTCAGCATTTTCTGCTTCCTGACAACCTTATAAAAGGATAGAGCCCCACTCCTGTGGCAAACTTATCTCATGTTACTCTTTTCATGTCAAATTATTCGATAATCTGCAATAACTCAATCCATCAGCGTACTATGGGAAGAGAAACCCCATGCGGGTCTTACCTGAGATCTAGAGGGTTTTTTGTACTTCGTTTAGATCTACAAAATTCCCTTAAGAACTTTGTACTAATATTTGTCCATAAATAGTGTATCTTTAGAGTGTAGTAGTTTACTAGATGTAGGATTCACCAACGGCAGAACATACGTACTTGTATGTCAGCAAGCGAGCAAACATGGCTGCAAATTCTACATGACTTTGAAATGTTTGAGGGAGAAGAGTTCCTCATATTTTTTGGGCGCCACTCATTGCAACATAGACAAGCTGGTTATTCTCCCAAGTCAACATTAACTGTGAAGCTTTACAAAGATCACCGAGGTTAACTGAGAAACATTGTAACCTGCCCACAACATAGTCTGGGAAAAAATCTACAAAAGTGGCCTGAACCATGACCTTGTGGCCATTTCATCATTTTTAGATTGCTTTTTTAAAAATGCCTTTTAGATAGTGTATGTCCATTTTCAGAGTGGTCTATGGTATTTCCTTGCCAAAAGATACAGCCTGTACAGTCTCTGAAAGCTCTGATTTTATTTTAACCTGGGTCAAAAAAAATTTCTAACAATGACCAAGCCACTTATTTCTATCAAGGAGATCAAACTCTAGTCAAACCTAAAATGGCCTAAGCAAGAATAGGAGATGGAAGGACCTCTGCACTGTCTTACCCTGTCACAGAGGTGGAAAGGAGGGTAACAGAGTGCATGCTCACATTCAACACAAACTGGGGTGGGAAAGGAACACTGAGAGGGAGGAAGGGATGGAGGAAGGGAGGAAGGGGATGAGGAGGGGAGGAAGGAAATGGAGGAATGGAGGAAGGGGATGGAGGAAGGAAATGGAGGAGGGGAGGGAGGGAATGGAAGAAAAGAGGAAGGGGATGAAGGAAAGGAGGAAGGGGATAGAGAAAGGCTGGAAGGGGATGGAGGAAGGGAGGAAGGAGACAGTGGAAGAGAGGAAGGAGATGGAGGAAGGGGGAAGGTGATGAAAGGGGAGGAAGGAGATGAAGGAAGGAAGGAAGAAGATGAAAGAAGGGAGGAAGGGGGTGGAGGAAGGGAGAAAGATGGAGGAAGAGAGGAAGAGGAGGGAGAAAGGAAGGAAGGAGATGAAGGAAGGGAGGAAGGGGGTAGAGGAAGGGAGAGGGAAGGAAGACCCAAAGCAAAGTATGTATGAAACCCACTACTTTGTGTACTAATGATTTTTTTTAACTGAAAAGAAAGCAGATTAGAATTCTGTAAGCATGAAAAGTTAACCCAAGAAGATACTTCAAACTGAGAGATTTTTAAGAAACAGCCCATCTTCTAAAGCTATAGGCTAAATGGAAATGACCTCAAAGTAGACGGCCTCCTTTTCAGGCATTAAACCAAGGACCCCATCTACTTGCTCTCTCTGAAATCTGCTCGCATCCTTCTCATCTTAGGTGGAGCCTGGCTTTGGGCCTCCTTTCATTCTTGTGTTGGTGTAGGACAGGACATATTCATTCTAATGCCATCCTCTTCCCTCAGCACAGTGGCTGCTACATGGCCATCTATCACTGTTTCCATCACTTAAACACCCAAGCGATTTCAACCTCATTAAACAAGACTAGAGGGAAGCTCCGCCACTGGTGCTCCCACCTGCAATTATATGAACAAATGATCATAAACGATTCAGGATAATCACTTCACTGGTGTCCATCCCTCCCCGGAAAAAAAAAAGATTATTACAATATTGATCAGACCAATGGTGTTTCTGAATTTGAATTCAATCACCTTCGTAGGGTAATGGGCCAAATCCTTGCCATCTGGAAATGTCTAGTTGAGATCCAAATATGTATCCCAGCTAATGTAAGCCTCGCTTTCTACCTTGTGTCGTGAGTCACTCATAGTCCCCACCATCTATCTCCCTGTGCCTCCCACTGAATCCACCTTCCACTTGGAGTGGACACCTGATCCCGTTTGCTTCAAGCTCATACTTCTCATCCTTTTGGACTGTGATTCCGAGATACATCTGTGCATATTTTGCTCCTACTCCAATTCAGGATCACCTATTCCCAAACCAATCATGTAAGATGTCCCGTTTCTAATTAGCTGCCTTCAGCTTCCCAAGGCCACCATCAGTCCCTGATCCTGGCACACCTAAAACATTTCTTTCTATTACATTTTCCCACTCTCCTGCATATATTTCTACAGAAACTGGGCATCAGTACAAACAGACGAAAGTTTTTATAGTCATATCTGCTTGTATCTGTTCTTTCTCATTAGCTGGGTGCTTATGCAGCATATAGTGTAGCCCCACCCTAAATTCCCCATCTTCCTGGGGCTTGGGATTCCCTCCCCCCTCTCTCCGACAAGTGGGCTTAGTCATAGAGCAAGCTGTAATTTTTCTTTCTTTTTTAAAGATTTATTTTTGTTTGTGTGAATATAACTTTGCACGAATATATGGCATGCATGTATGGGTGCCCCAAGGGGTCAGAAGAGTCTAATCCATGGAGTTACAAGAGGTCAGAGCTGACCATGTTGCGTAGTGGGAACCAAAACAAGTTCCTCTGAAACAGCAATGAGCACTCTATCTCTGAGCCATGTCTCCACCTAAGCTAACCTAACAGCACAGAGGGCAGGCGGGCCTCCAGCTTCTTTGTGATCTAGTAAACTTAAGTCTATTAAGGCATGTTTGGTTTTGGAAATAGACGATTTACGTTTTATTTTTTACATTAGTTACTAGCCCTCTGTTTTCCTTTTGAGCCCTCTGAAGTGCTGGTTGTAGAGACCCAATTCAACTGAGCCTGCGGATTTCTAAAGAACCCCAGAAAATCTTGTGTGTCTGATCATTGACTACTAGACAATCACTTCAATCCTTGGGTGAAGTAGCCTAAGGTTAGGGTCGCCTGCCATAGAGCACCTTCCCATACAAAGTACCAGGGAAACTAGAAGAAAGGTTAAGAAGCAGGAGCTGGGGGAAAGGAAAGTACACCCTGCTGGAAGGGAAAGCTTGTGAGCTGCGGGAAGAACTGGGAATGAGCCACCTTGAGTCTTTGGCCATTGAGGCATTTATGAAAATTAAAACTGTACAATGGGCAATAGCAAAAACTGTGCCCAGCTTTCTCCAACCAACTGAAGTAGTAGTATTTAACCATATTCTGTTACGGCTGGAGTCAGCTAGAGGCTCTCCTGTGGCTCCAAACTAGGGTCAGGTGCTTGACATAAGAGCCCACTTACAGCTATTTGTTTTACCTTTTAGTTTTGGGGGGCCTGGCCCAGGGAGGAACAGATAATTATATTTGTTGTCATCAGTGTTGGAGTTCAGAAATGGGATAAACTGCTGGCTAAAGTGCATAGTTTACATACCAAAGCAGACAGGGACTCCAGGTCCTCCCAGCATCCCTCAGTCACTACCAGTTACAGAGCATGGCTGGCATACTCTACCCTTGTGCCCTGAACTTTCCGGCTGAGGGCTGGGCTGCTTCCCTTCCCCCAAAAGCTCTTGTTTATTTAATCCAGACATTTTGATCCTGCATCGTCCCTCCACCCCCCGCCCCACCCCTAGGCCTATCTCCAAATTTCTCTCTTTTCCTGCCTGTGCACACTTCTCTTCCTCCTTCCCCTTGGTGACTTCCCTGCCCTTCCTTGGGACCAGTAAACCTGCCCTAAAGTGGCTTCCCAAGAAATCAGCCTTTATATACTTTAATTTGGCTTGAATTGGATCGCTTGATCAATAGGGAATAACTTCAGTTTATCTTAGCTCCAAGGCCAGTTTAAAATCTTAAGGTCGTGCCCTTTTTTATTTTGTGGTTTGTTTTTGGTGGTGGTGGTGGTGGTGGTGGTGTGCATGCTCACACACACTCCCGTGTGTCTGTTTCTCTTTCAGATAGGGTCTCACTTTGTACTCTTGGCTGGCCTAGAATTCACTATATATATCAGGCTGCCCTGGAATTATAGAGCCTGGACTACACCAGCCTCAGCTTCTTGCATCCTGAGCTCAAAGATGTGCCCCATCATATCCAGCCTGAACTGCTTGCTGACATATTAGCATTTGAAAAATTTTTGGCTGCTTTTTTGTCTCCCAATCTCCTAACTCCTTGCTTTATCCTAATTAAACTATAAATCTAAGAACAAAATCTGAGGTTGAGGTGGGAATTCACTGCCCTTTGATTGTCTTCTACTCCCACAAAGCCTGACTTACAGTCAAAAACATGCACAAAAGTGCTCTTAATTATCTATATGTGGCTTATTCAAAAGCCATTATTTTCATTCAACTAGCTGCCTAACTGAAACAGCCAGGCACAAGGTCAAAAAGGTGGAGAGTTCAAAGGATGCTTAGTGATCTTGGGGAAGTGACTTCACTTCTCTGGGTTTTGGTTCCCTGTCTTTTAAAGGAATCAGTAGGAATAGCTTCTTTATATGGAGTTTAAAATGCATAAAATAACAGGCCTATAT